CAATGGGCTCGATAACGGCTACGTTTGTGATGTCTGATTGCGCTGAGGAAAGCACAAGGTCTAGGATGCGCGGTGTCTGATCTGGGAAAATACGAGTTGGCGTCATGACATGTTGAAAAAGGTTGCAATCCAGGACGGTTTCAAGTAAGGCGGCATCGAAATGGTCGGATGGGCGATTACAAAGAAGGAAATTCCAATCGATATCTGGTGCATTGAAATCACCTACGATAAGACAGTCCTTGCCTCCGCCGTGCGCCCTGATCGAGTCCAACAAACTAGCCCCGGAGCCGGATGGTGCCCTGTAGACGACACCAATCATGGAAGATCTATATCCATCATGCACACGGCACCAGAGGGCTTCAAAATTGTTATCATGGTCACTGATAGCTTCAACCACATGCGCTTTGAGCTCCGCCTTCCAATAAAGCATTACGCCCCCACCAGACCTCCCGCCATGGCGATCGGACCTGGTGAGGTGATATCCAGGAATACACACTTCTGAGTCTGTGATTCGAGCGCTGCAAGGTCATGCATTAGCCAAGGGTACCAAGGCTGGATTGCGTATTCGACGTGGGAACGCACGTAGGCATTGAGCATCATAGAGAAGATGAATGAGTTCAAACTTCCGAATTCCACCCGCAAATGAACAACGTGCTGGTTACTACTTTTTAAAACGGAAGTTGACTGTGGAGTAACCGAGGTCGTCTTGCACCAGCACACTGAGGTCACATTCCTGCGGGTGGAATTCGGAAGTTTGAATTCATTCATCTTCTCTATGATGCTCAATGCCTACGTGCGTTCCCACGTCGAATACGCAATCCAGCCTTGGTACCCTTGGCTAATGCATGACCTTGCAGCGCTCGAATCTCCCCATGGTCGAGCAACAAAATGTGTCAAGAGATTGTGAAACCTTTCGTACCAGCAGAGACTGAAAACACTCAGAGTGTACAGGGGACGCTACAGGCGGCCACGTAGAGACCTCATATTAATCTACCAGATACTGAACTAACCAACTCACGTATGCCGCCACCCACTGCAACTCATTCCGAACACCAAGCTCAGAGGCAATAGCCTGAAACTAAATCAACAACATAGACGATTGTTTATTTAGACTGGACGAACCTCAGGTCATAGCATCTCAGTGATTTCGTTATAAGTAGCCATCAAACGTTCCGGTGCCTATGCCGTTTATGTGCCTAGCGACAGCCTGGACGTCAACAATTCTATCCGACCGGACGCATCATTAGCACCATATGTCAGCAGAAAAGTTTGGTCGTTAATACATTTGTGAAAGAGGATAAGTTTCTTAATAGAAATGGGTTGGAACAATCATCAATGCTAGTGTACGATCTGTTCAAAATGCCCGTCGGCCTTCTGCTTGCAGTGCAGAAACCGCTTGATGCAGTTGGGAGCACTTTCTCTTATGTATCCCTCAGGATCGCGCAACATTCATTCACAATATTATCTTTTAATTGGTCTAATGTACGCGATCTTGTTTTGTGCACTCAGCGCTTCAGATAGCCCTACAGAAAACATCCATGTTGTTCAAATCTGGTGAGCAAGCAGGCCACTCTATTGGTCCACCTAGTCCGATCCAATGGTGACCAAATTTGTCGATGGAGTAAGTACGCAACGTTTTATCAGAATGTGCAGGTGCACCATCTTGCTGTCACCAAATGGTACTGCACGCCCCTTCGGCCTCTAGCTATGAAAGCACAAATGTCTGCAACATTTCCAAGTACGACAATGCTAGGAAAAGATAAGGCTTTAGTACTTCAAAACCACAAGCTACTGGACACATTCCCGGAAATGAAATATGGGCCCGAGATTTGCTGGCTTGTTAAGCCAGCCCAAACCATCAGTTTTACACTGGTGCATACGTGCTGCGGTATATTTTCGTGCGTTACTTGTAGCCCGAGTATACTGTTTCATTGTTCCATGCAGATAAAACAGTGCCTCATCTGTAAAGATGACAGGACGAATATCCTCGTGACCCAGAAACCAGCGGCAAAATTCATACCGTTTCTTCGGATCGCAGGGGTTCCTAACCAACATTTGAAGTGCACAGAAGCTTAGAACTTTTCGTTCCTATGTAATCGGTGTACCACGTATCGACTCGTGTCACAGTGCTGTGCGATTCGACGAATGCTGCGATCGGGGATTTTAAGTACTTCACTGACTACAGCACAAGCTGAACAGTCGTCTGTGGTGATGCGAGGCGTTCCGGTTCTCTTCAAGTCACACACACTCCCAGTCTGCTCGAACTTCTTCGCCGGTTTAAGTACGTACCGGGTGGTGATGGGACGCATTCCTGCTTTCCTTGCATTGTAGTTTCGTGAAGTTGATGCACCGTTTAAACCGCATCCACCAAACAGTCTAATAAACAGCGTGCGCTGATTAACAGGCACGTTACGTGATCCCAACTACAGTGTCTGTTCGTGCTCCATTATCTGAGACAGTGCTTCAATGATATTGACACGGCTTGCATTGCTTAACATCGCCCTCACCTAATCCAAAACTCCCGGTTCGCTGAGATACCATCACTTGCGCACATGCAAGCCGCAGTTTTGGTTGAGGGCTTCAGCTTGCTTCCGCCGACTTCCCTGGATAGCTGGCTGTTTCGCTTTGGCCAGCGCGACACAGAGAAGCATCGATCGTTCCAACGCCTATGGTTTGCCATGCCCTTCAGCACTCAGCACGAAGTTAGTTGATAGCTAACAACCGCCTGAAACACGTGGTGGCTGTCTGTATTCATCTCGTTCGATGCCAACATAAGCTATTTTTGCGTGTCGGTCTATCCTTCACTAGCTTACGCTCGCATGCAGTTGGTTCCTGCGCTAAACCACGCCGCTGCTGAGAATTCCATGTCCACAGCACTAAGGTGAAAGAGAAATTCATGTTTCTGCAGGCGCGCATCGCAGGCAGTACGCATTTTGCAAAATCCGCTAAACATTGGATGGCTACTGGATGGTGTGGCGTACAACTACAAATGTCCGGCATTCACCATAAGCGAGCCACGGTAGGTCCATGAACCGCGCTTCCCATTCTGAAACGCGCTCATCGGCCTTCTTCCGCCAGACTAACTATATATCTTGTCGCATATCTTGAGTCATTTCACTGAAACTAAATACCGGAGCGGCCTTCCTTTGTCCTCGATACTTGGAGCGATACCAGGCTGCCGGTTCCGACGAACGTCATCAGGTGATGTTCAATTACGATGGCTACGGCTTGTCAATCCTCGAACGGCCATGTTCTGCAAGATCTGGTAACCACTAACAGTACCATCTGCTTGCGGCACATCGATTATCTTCCTAACATTCAAGGAGTGTGACCGTACTCTAAGTGTCAACTACAACGGAACCAGTCTAATATCAGTTTCTTTTAATCTGTTAGAATCCATTCTATTTCGACAGCTAACCTCGATTCGAGTACTACACTCCCATGCAGGACAGATTGGTTGCAGCCCTGGTTGAGGGTGTGTAAACTACATATTTCCGCTTCGACAGCTTGGCGAGCAGCCTCAAATTTACTGCCAGCCTCTCGCTGCCACATATTTGGACATGCTGGCGACATATGACGCAATTCGATTGACCCGCTTTATGGCGTTGCTCGAGAACGAATAGGCGCTTGCAAAGTACACAGCCATCCTGTATGTATTTTACCTTAATGTCGCTGGCAGAATGACGGCTTACGGCGAACTCTCTTCACATTCCGTGGTCAATAGTAGTGTACGAGAAAGATACACATTTTCCCTTTCTGTTCAGTTTTGCGATTGGGGATGTATTGATGATCGCTCTGAGGGACATCCGTGCTTCTGTCGTAGAGCATCTGATGAGCAACCACCTGACTAAGTTAGACTATGCGGATGATTTTGCCTTGCTCGGTGGCGCCCCAAGAATATGCAGCTCATTCTAAACCGCATGGCCACTGAAAAACTGAGTCCGGTATGACTATCGTTCCATCCAAATGCAGTTGTTTTCTAGCAGTGATACATAGCTGTTTTAATGCATACTCTTGAAGGCAAGGAGGTTAGACTAGCTGCAGCTAGGACGCTGCGTTTCTGATGATATCACATTAAAATGGAGATTCCTCCACAATTAACAAAGCCCGATCTGTGGTTGGCAATATGAGGCATCCGTGGCGCCGTTGGAACATTTCACTCTCGGCAAACTGCAAGGTTTACAATGCCTGTTTTCACGCGGTGCTGTTGTCCGGGAGCGAGTTCTGGGGTATTCATGCAAATGACGTGCATCGAAATTTAACCTTTGACAGCGGGCTTTGCAGAGTATAGCTTATGCATGGTGGAAACACCACGTTTGCGACGACGATGTTAGGCATCGCGTCTGTAACAATATAGGCCTTTCTGGCGGCAGGCTAGTACCGTTGTTCTAACTGTGATGGTAGACCGCGTCCAGCGTATATCGTAATAGCGAATACAACGCGTGCTTTTTTGATGATCCAGGAACAAGCTGGGATAAATTTTTTCGCCTGTCTACTCTTAACAACAAAACATTTCAGTGTGGCCTTCCATATTGGTTATCATCTATCCAGTGCGTTATAGGGGCTGAAATGCAAAAAGTGTGGAAAACAGCTGCCTGGGATCCCTTGGACACATTGCGTGAAGTCAAGCGCAGTGGACGATATGTTTGAACTTGTGTCCTGATCTAATTGATCAACGTAACAACTACTAAACTGAGAAGAATGATAAATATGTTTGTACGAAACTCCGGAATTTTCCAGCGTTTATTCATTTTCCTCTATATGCCTTTTTATTTGGGGCTGCATGTTTTTCGAAGGACTTGTGTCTATATAACCACTGTCGCTATTTTGTACACATTTAAACAAAAGTGTGTGATTGCTCACGTTTCAATGCTACGTATTACTTAACCACCTATATATTCCCACAATTTCGGTCACCCGTGCTTGGGAAACTTGAAGTGAATTGTATGGAATTCACCGTATAAATAGAAAGCGACACTGCAATCCCCATATTGTTTCAGTGCTATTTCTTCACCATCGAGTTTGGACTATGTCGCCAGGACGGTCAGTTACGGGCTTATGGTGCTGGACTATTATCATCCAGTGCGGAATTACAGGTAACTACTCAGTTGTAAACCGGGTATTTTTGAGTTTTGACTAGAATGTAACAATGAATATGGTATCCGATTTCTTTAAATCTACACTGACGGATATGAGCGAAATTTCGCTAGACATTATATTAAAAAAGCGAATGCATGTGATCTGCATATGCAGCAGAGTGCGTTATGTGACACCTGCCTGTAACACAACGGAAGGCGAAGCCCATTTGAGACTTAGGTACATGTTGCATCCCCAGTTAGGGGATATTCACTTCCTCCACATTGCAGTTCCAAGACGACATTTGTCAGTTTAATTTCTGGTTAAGAAACTAATTCACATGGTTCTCTCTATTACTGTTGTTTTGTGTCGCATCGTTCAGAAATGAAAGACACCGATCAAGCAAACTATCTCGAAACCTACAACAGCCCAAAACCTATGGGTAGATGGCTTAGTGAGTCAATGAAAAGCATTACAGTCACTTAGTTAGACGGCTGGTTTCATCCGGAAAGGTGCTGGACTACCTGTTCGGGCTTTCTGGACTCTCCGGTAGGGAGTATGCCGTCTCAGGTTCGTGAACTTAGTCCGACTTTAGAAACAGGGAAGTTCGTCTGTGAGCCACGAAGGATGCCGCAACGAACGGGATTATGCAGCTAGATTTGACAGAGCATCGCCAAACGTCATCACTACTCAAAGCATTGCAGCACGCTGATGCTTGTTTCTTCAACTTGAGCACAATAGTTAAGTAGCGTATGCGCAGTCTAGGAAGTGTGGTTTACAATAAGGTAGCAGTAGAGCTGACCTTCGTGAACTAGGCTTAACTGTGCGAAATCAATTCAGACAGCCATTATCAACTAGATGTAGAGGTTTTGCCGTGAATGAGAAGCTTCACATTATGACCGGCAGGAAGAGCGAAACTGTTGGCTATCGGAAAATCCTATGGGATCACGCGAAGAGCATTTGGACAACCCAATTCCACAATATCCAAGCAATTTCTGGACCTACACTTACGACTTAACATCGAGTATACTGTTCAGGCCTGCCGGCCTCTGCACATATACTAGTTAACTCTGTGCGGAGCTTACGGTGAGGGCAACGCAGTTGCATATGGTATGTAAAGTCTTCCACGGTAAATACTCTGAGCAAAAGACACTTCCAGCAGCCGAGCTGACGGTTGAACAGTACAGAAGATTCTGTAAGACTAGAGTTAAACTTGAAGTCGGGCTCTAGAAATCAGCGATGGAAGGAGCCTGAGAGGCTGGTTGCTGGCGGCGCTGGGAGAACGCTAGCTCCCTACGTTTATACTGACTGAAAAGTTACACTGTTACCAACTGTGTCTGTTCCATCTCTGGCCGCGTCTAATACGGGCTCCGATGTGAGGATTAGACGTTTTCTGCAACATTCGGGGCGAAAAAACACAATTATGATGCGGCTCATGTATACAGTGATGAAGATCGTTTTACCAGCAACTAATATACACCGTGCCAAACTTCTAGAGGCAAGTCTCAAACTGACTTACCGACTCCATTCAGAACGATTACGGAGTAGTAGTAGTAGTAGTAGTAGTAGTAGTAGTAGTAGTAGTAGTAGTAGTAGTAGTAGTAGTAGTAGTAGTGATAGTAGTATTAGTGATAGCAGTAATAGTAGCAGTAGTAGTAGTAGTAGTAGTAGTAGTGGTAGTAGTAGTAGTAGTAGTAGTAGTAGTAGTAGTGATAGTAGTAATAGTGATAGCAGTAATAGTAGTAGTAGTAGTAGTAGTAGTAGTAGTAGTAGTAGTAGTAGTAGTAGTAGTAGTAGTAGTAGTAGTAGTAGTAAGCTCAGCAGTCTATCAACTAGAACCAGAGCCAACAACGATTACTTAACGCGAGACCATTTTCGAACAATTATTTTCGATGAATCTGTTCAGACCATTACAATCATATTTAAGGGTAAAATAAGGAACTGAAATCGACCCATTGGTTCAAATTACGTAGTTAGTTAACGGTTCATTGGGGGAGGCTAAAAGTTGACCTTTGACCTGACGGGTCGATTGAGTGATACGGAGCTTGATCTGTGGCAGTCGACCTCAGCATCGCTCATTCTAGCTGGCCAGGGAAGCTGTAAGGCATGGAGCAACTTCTGTTGAGAGCCTAAATGAAGGTTGAAACAACCGGGAGCAAATCGATTCAGCTGTCGCGAGCGCACGGAGGCGCAAACCACTTGATTGATGCTGCGGGACACTGTAAGTTATCCTGAAACCGCGTTAATTAAATATGTAATTTGAAGCAGTGGGTAGATTTCAGTTCGTTATTTCACCTTTAAATATTATTGTCATAGTCTGGAGAAAATCATCGAAAACAATTGTTTACCTATGGTCTCCTGTACTTTTTTGACTTCAAATGGGAATTTTCAAGTAGATTACGGAACATTTAACGTGTCCACCGTGCTAGGTTCTGAATAGGCCATTACTTCAGGGCAACCCAGATGCGCCGAGTTAAAGTAGCTAGATTGCGGGAGCGTCCAACGGTTGACAGGCAGACGACCGGTAGTTGGTATGCATTTTATGTTTGCTGTTACTAAAGGAATCGCTGTGTAATCATGAGTCGAAAACACCTATGTAAACGTTGCGGGCAGAACAAATTGTACTGAAGTAACCGTGGTTGAACATAGATGAGTACAGTGGAAATTGGAAATGTATAACTTACGAATCTGTAGAGACTCGAAAATAGTTGCAGAAATACATCCATCATTTCTGTCCAAACAGCATAAGCTACTTCCATGGTGTAATAAATGATGTGTTAAAATAAATCGTCCGAATATTTGCGCTGCGCGAATTGATGTGCATAATTAAACGGAAAGTCGTATGAGAAGACTACGAATGTGGAGAATATGCGCCTCATCGGTTTACTCACCTTCTGAATGCGGCCAACTGCAGCATTCTGCCCGATCCGTGTACTTACAATTATGATGTACAGGTACGCCACTTACGAACAGACAGTAGCAAAGTCGCGACATTGAATTAGGAATTCCTACACATACTTGGGCTTCAGCACATCCGAACAACTTGTGTTCACTGACACGAGGCATTGTAAATCGTCAACGCGTCTGTCTGCTAGGTTCACGCCTTGCACCGGGGGTTTTTGCAGGCCGCATAGTTGGGCGTGTGTAGACCGGAGTGGGACATTGGTCCTTTTCGGATTCTGGGACTGATTATTATCCTTCGTACCCTGCAATTTCAGTCGGACCGTAACTTGTCATTTATCCCCATTTACTAAGTCAAGTCTGGTAACGATCGATGAGAGTGTTGACGAGATGCACATACCTCGACCAGCTGGACGACGAAGTTCCATCTCACTGCTGACGAGGATGGGATGCAAAGACTACACGCGAGTTTTCCCGGGTGGAACAGTGGCCCAAAGTTACAAAGATCTATGACTCATCCATCGAAATGTGTACTTTTAGTACACGAGTCCCTTTATAAATGCATCATTATACATCAATGACACCCGAGTGAGTAACGTATGCCGAATCGGATCATCCGCGACTTCAATCTTCATGCTACCCGGTTCTACTCCTTGGGATTCGTACTGAGCGCGCGATGCGTAGAAGAGTTTGGATTAGTGCATATTATGCTATCCATGGTACATCTACGGGGGTGGCGATTAGGGAAACCTTGCGGTCCCAGTTAGAGGGAGGATTCGAAAAGGACGCTGCCAAGTTATGCTGATTCCAAAGGCGTTTTTTCACATTGGGATGTGAGTACTAATTTTTAAACTTCATCCTGCTCTTTTTCTTTTTTCCAGCATGCTTTGAGCGACAGTGCTGAGGTGAGACCGTTTATTCCCGACAAAGTTATGCATGAAGAATGCCTTGTGACGACATTTCAGAACAGATATTTCGAAACGGTATCGTTCGAGGACGCCACAGAGCAGATGAGGTGTGGTTCCTGTTGAAACATAGTTCTTACTATATCCTAATGATTGCATTACCTAAAATTCATGGAAACGTTCACTGTAGTTGCGTTTGCACTGATCGTGTACGAATTACCAGTAACCGTCCTACGGTAATTTCCGCCTTTGGTTGCCCATACAGGAGAAGCATGAACACATTGAAAGTACCCTCATTGTCGCGGTGGCACAGCTTTCCTTCTACCTGATCACCTTAAAGTATGGTACAGACTAATGACACAGGACGATATTCTGTAGTACCACCTGTGATATATTAAGAACACGGCCTCTCAAAACATTGTTAAACAGTTACAGAGAATGAAGCATTTACCGACCTTATGTATACAGCATTTATTCCCTGATAGTATGCACTTCTGACGAATTCAGACCGCGTAGACTGCATTACTGGTGAGTAGCAGGGCAATTTATTAGGTTTTTTGAAGCTTCATCGCAGTTAGACTCAAGTAGTGGGCAACCACACATTCAAGAAAGCGTTACACGGTCGTCTCGTTCCATTGGGACTGCATTCGATTTCACCAAGGTGATATGTATACCGGACATCTGTATGGGATTTTCCTTTATAGACGCTTTGCAAAAACCATACAACGTCCGTTTGACATTGTGTACGACCCGATCACAGAAAGCGTAAGGACGGTGGACAGTCTAGACACGGTGTCGTCAATGCTGGCCAATTTGGAGAGCGACATATCCACCATTCGCCATTCGGTTGATCGAGTAAGTTCTGAGCAGCTATTACATCGAACGTCTTCAAACGCTTTAAACTTTTGCTTTTCTAATGTAGCGTGAACTCTAAGTAGAAACTATTTACTCATTACAGTGACGGATAGAATGTATTCCTCTCAGAATATCTGATAGATACACTAAAAGTTCGTGTACATCAAAGACAGCGACCAGCCATTCTAAATGTAAACTTTTGTTTCCTTGATGTGTTTACTCTACCACATTTAACTTGATGTTCTCTTATGACTGTTAACGATTACTAACTGTAGAACTTGGCTCTGATTAGGTCATTATAACATTGACCTCAAAACGGACACTTAACTACAGCGCTACCAGAACTCTGCGATTAAATTTTCTGCCTTAAGTAACGCGGAATTGTATTCAGCTCCTCAACAAAGATGAATCACGCCATATCCATCCGCTCTCTTGTTCACGGCTTAACAATTAGCCTCTGCTTGTTGCTGTTTATTGATGAGTCATAAACTTGGTGTTCGTTATGAAAATTGGAATGTTATCAGTAAACGCACATCCTATCTAGTTGTGATGTGTAGCCCTTTCTACGTGCGACAATTATGACCACTGTTGCTAATACCGACAGTGGGCTACCACCAATGAGTGCTTAGAGCTCTTAGTTGTACAGATCATTTTGTCGAATGCAGCACACATATTTCAAGGAGAAATCAACCCAAAGGATGGTAGAACCGTGATCATCAACTGAGTTGTAACTTCACTAAAGGGATTCTGTTAGATCACTTGATGTGAGTATGGATTGCGACACGCATTCTTAGTTTAGACTACGATTCACTTTGGACTGAACCGCCATCCACTTCGGTCACAAGGACCACAGCTGAGGCAGATGAAGTTTTGGTGCAGGCCGCTCCAGTCACTATGTAGAGATGGTGGGAATGCGACTCAAACCCAGGACATTTGAGCTTGCAACCGATGTTCCTAACGCTCAGCCACTGTGGCACAGCCCCGGCAACGCTTGTCCAAACGGTTAGTGACTCGTTCGAAGGGCTCGAACGGCAAACCCGCAATCCTTATTGGAGCAGTGCGAGTGATTCTATAGCCAGTCGTGGAGTACAGTGTTGTTGGAGATACAGGCTCTTTCGGATAAGTGGAGTGGTCTGATCAGCACTGGGTAACTGAAGTGCTTTTCGTTTCCGAATGATCAATGATTAGCTCACCACCTTAGGGTGAACACCCTCACCCTGGCCCCATACATATCAATTGCTGAAAGAATGCGTAACTGTTGCAAGTGAGTCATCTGCGTGCGAATGGAGTCAAGTGCGTCGTTGATAACTACATGTCCAGTGTTCATCAATCATTGCGTACATTTTAGTTATCAGCACTATGCCCCATAATATTCCAGAAAATCCTTAACCAGCAATCCCGTTTACCGCCTTGTTTCAGTTGAGGAGACACGTTGGGGACAAGAAGCCAATTTGCTGGATTATGGATAAACCCCACATATTTGGAGCGAAGTAACCACTCGATGTCGGCCTCGCACGATTGACGATCAATTCCAAGCATTGTGCAGCACCACCAACAAAACTCACGTCAAAGTTTGTTTCATGGTATCGTGTCTTCTCCAGCCTGCATGCCGGCCGCCGATGTAATTTTCACCATTGATACTTGTTAACCGAAAAACCAATTGTGTAGCTTCCAATCCATGAAGTAACATCTAATCAATGAGACCATATTCGGTAAAAAAAACACTTATTTCGCCAAGGAAACATTTTTTCGTATTCTTCAGTAAACGTATAGACACGACACGTTAAGCAACTGAACATTTGGCCATCTCAAGGAGTAACTTAAAATACAACACAGCGCACGGTATTTACTCGGCTTGAGTTGGACACTGTTTTCCTGAGCGATATCTAACTAGATTCAACTGTGGAATCAGCTTTAGTACCGGTAGCTCGGATTATTGATGGAAGTATTGTTTGATTCTACGAGGTTGGTAATCTGATTGCAATAAAAGTACTCAGCTTGGATGTGCCTGTGTTGAAACGCAAGTGCGGTAAGATCAACTATGAGTAAATTACATTACTAATCCTAAAGGAAACGAGCCATCCATGATAGGGTATTTTTGCTGCACCTTGTGTTTACCTGAGAAACGGTTCGGCGTGAGGTGAAACTCTTAACAAGTAGACTACCGTTAATAGATGTTGCACGCCACTAAGTAAGCTCATTAACGACGGTGGTGTTTGATCCCTGGTATGGGTTATAGCAATCCGAAAGATTTATGAAGTCATTATTCAAGCAACGGCTCCTAAATGGTGCGAATCCCTCATCACACTTTGCTGCCCTGTGGGCTAGTTCACTTGACCAAATGCTTGGGGTTGCGGTCCCTTAAGGCCACCATCTACTTCGGCCCAGGCAGCCTTGCACTATGTCGCCTAATGACGAACCGCAGTGCTGAACTGGACTGAACCCTGTTCGCTCGAATGGTGGCTTGCTCTCCTGATACTAATGAGATTACGTTTCAACCATGCGCACATTCTTGTCTACTCACCCCTGTATCAACCATCATCGTTATTGTCTAATCATTCCACGGTGAGCAGCATTGCTCGCTTTGATGAGATTATCACCGTACCATCCTCTGATTGAGTCACACAGCAACCAACTGGAAGTAACCAATTCCAACATCTCCCATATTCGCTCCTGCAACCTAGAACAAAGTTTTAATTTGACGTTGATTAGACGACAGCCGATTTTTCATGCACCCGAGCAACGTTTGTAATAGATATCTTTCGCTTGCCCGAGACACTTCTTTGCTCCAGCGCAGTTCACCAATTGTCGTCACCAAATACCGTTCACCAGTTTACAGCTTCGCCTTTCTGGAGAAGCGGAGACTACTCATCTGGGGAACCTGGTGTCGGGATCGCCCTTAATGCTTGAGCCAAGGCCTTGTTACACCCAAGCGAAATCAGAACAGTGGCACGGTAGTAGGAAAAGTGTAGTATCATGCGTGAAGCGGTACACTCTGTAATCAGCACATGGAACAATGGTTTTATACGGGTGAAAAAGCTAAAGCTTAACAGTTCCCGTAGGATGGTTATGGTGAAAATTCAACATATAAAAGATGGTTAGCGAAACAAGGTTTACACAGTGAACTCACTGAAATATACGTAGTATTGATTGCAAATCCAAGGTAAATCCATGAGAAAGGACGGCAAATTGCATGTTAGTAAAAATCGTGTCTCCTTCTGGTGTACGCATACAGCAGGTGAAAAACGTGGAAAGAAAGCAGGGATTTGACCGCCAGTGAAATCTCACAGATACTTGTGCTTATTCATGGGTAATGGGTCATGTAAGATGGTGCAGCGAAATAATGACAGAGTTCCAACCCTGGATTGGAACTCTGTCAGCGTGGGAGCACACATGACAGATTCCGGTAGGGCATTCTACCATTTGCAAACGCGTACGGAAAAGAAATTCCGACGGCCTTCTAAACGATTGTGCTGATGTGCCAACTTGAGATGGTGGCCCCTCATTTTGCTGTTGTGACTGAGCTCTAGCAAATGGCGGCATGTGTGGTTGGGATCACTCAAAATCTGCTAAGCCAAAATGTGGTCCCCGCGTACGTAACAAACTGTTTGCCACAAGAGCCACATGAACACCAGAACCAGTTTCAGTTCGATGCGAATCAAGGGTAGACACTGGTTATCACACAAACACGTCTGCACACCGGTACACGCGCTTCTACTCAACTGTCTTTAAGGGCTGAATAGCAGTGGATAAATATGGCACCATAAATGGCCGTATCATGCCGCCCCCTTGGTTCAGGCTAACCAGCCCGGAAGCGTTCGAATGGTCGCCGTTGACGTTTAGAACGAAGTAACAAAGGTTCAGTTGCTGATTGGGCGTCAGTCATCTGCATTTCGGTCGGTGATTGGAATGACACGTTTGGTTCGGCACTTATTTCGCGGTTCGACAGCGTTGGCTGCACATGGTCTAAATGGCGCCGCATGATCCGACCATCCTCAGTTTCTGCTTCTACGATCTGTCCGTGGGTTGTTTTTACAACGGCCGGCTGCCACTCAGAGTCTGTAGGTAAACGGACGTAAACTGGGTCTGACTCTGCCACAATTCTGTCCCTGCTGCAATTATCAAAATATTCCTTCGCCGGTTGTTGCCTTTCAGTAACTTGTGACTCAACGGTCCCATGCAGTCAATCTAATTGTGTACGCAAGTGTCGGCCGAACAGTAACTCTGCCGGACTTCTACCGGTTGTCTCGCTTGGCATGAAACGATCCAAACGCACACGCAGTGGAGCATTTGGTTGTTTTGTTAGCAGATTTTGCACTGCCTGTACCACTCTCTCTGCTAACCCGTTGCAGGATGGATGATAAGGTGCAGTAGTTATGTGTCTAAAACCGTTCGAGCTAAGAAAGGTAGAAAACTCGGCACTGGAATAGGCTGGCCCATTGTCCGACACCAGTGTATTAGGGAGACCCAACGTCGCCAACATTGTGCGCAGTTTTGTTATGGTACTAGCTGAAGTTGCTGAGGCCAGAACATGGGCTTCAATCCATTTGGAATGGGCGCAATGATCACTAAGATCATCTGACAATCAAAACGACCGAAACCGTCTACATTGGCGCGTCTCCAGGGTGGTTCTGGCCACTTCCAAGACTGCATTGGCGCATGAGGGGCGGCATTTCGGTTTTCCTGACAGAGTCTGCAACCTCCAACCTTTGCTGCAATGTCATCGTTTAAGTAAAAGCGAGCTAGTGATTCCACTGTGGCAACTCCTGGGTGCGCGTCACGTAGTTCATCCGGTATAGGTGACCGAAAGCTTTTGGGCACAATAACTCGTGCGCTGCATACCAAACATGCGTTCTGGAGGCTGAGCTCAGATATCCAATTACGGAAAGGCATGAGCTCATTGCACGTGTTATTTGACCATCCGACTTGAGCGTAGCGTTTCAGTAGCAATAAAACTAGACCTCTATCAATCTTCTGACTTATGTTCGTTGACGTGACTGGGGAATCCTTGAGATGCTAAACCAAGTTTACAAGTTCTTGTGAAGTAAACTTCTCTGAAGATATCTCTGGTAAAGGAAGTCGATTAAGAGTATAAGCTGTGGCATTTTGCCGGCCGGGAACGTACTGGATTTTATATCTATATGCGCCATTATCATTATTATGCACTTTAGCTACAGGTGGAGAACACATCAGCTATTGTGCCGCAATACAAAAGACGACAAAGAAAAAACAACAACAGTGGTATGCCGGCTGAGTCCGCAGTAACAAATGGGCAACGTTACGGAGAGCTAACAGTCAGCTATCGTACCGCAAAGAGTTTTATTATACCTAACGAATGACATGGTGATTGGAGGAAGGGGCTAGTCAGGAGGGGGATGAACAAAGGAACTCACAATACAAACGCCATTGGGGTCGGCTCCTAGCCATATCAGCAAGTGTATCCAACTAAACGTGTTCATTGTTCTTAGGACCCAGCCAGGCAATCAGAATGCACCAACCGGCGCCAAATTCAAAGTGAGGGATTTCATTTCGCTCGACCAAGTCATCGCTTAGTCTAGTCTCTTCCTCTTCCAACCGCACCCCCGGCGCGCAAAAGATGTATGTCGCGGGAGTTGGTGTGCTGACATGCGCGTGACGAGTGGCCCAGCCATCGGAGCCTGGTGCGTCATATAACGGAGGTGAGCCGTTCACACGCTCTTCCTGCACCAAATACTCGACGCCGAAAGTGCTCATTGTTCACGCGGCGCTCCAACCAGACATGAGCTAAGCTACGGAGGCAGCGATGATCGAACTTGGCTAGCCTCTTTATGTCTGTCGAGTTGATGAGCCTAGTTTCACAACCGTATAAGAAGGTTGAACGAATGGCTGCATTATAAAGTCCGCCATTCGGAGCGGGAGTGATGTCGCGTCTGCGCCACAGGTGGCGGACAATGGCAAAAGCACCTCGAGCTTTCGCTATACGGTTTGTAATCTCCGCTTCAATCCAATGGGTGCGAATATAGCTGCCCAGGTACTTGATCACCACCAAGGGTCTGTACATGAGTGGGTCCTTGCTAATCTTGGAGAATAACTTTCCACTTCGACGGAGCAAAGCAAAATCAAAAACGATTGACAGTCAGTGCTAATCGGTCCAGTGCAGCCTGGCACGCTTGCGTGCTGTCCCATATGAGGGCAATGTCGTTCGCATACTCGAAGTCAAGAATTCGCTCACCTGGAAGTAGCTTCACACCTTCTATGTCATGCCCACTGATGCTGATACCATGAATTCATCAATAGCGAAGTTAAAAAGGAAAGGTGACAATGGGCAACCATGTCTCATACCGCTTGTGATATTGAAGGGCGACAATTGCCATAAACCCTCACTCTGCCCGAACTATGCGCGTATAGTGACTTGATAATTTTTGCCTTTTTATCGGGCACACCTTTTCTCAGAAGACAGTCCCAAAGCGCGCATCGATCCGCTAATTCGAAGGCACATTTGAGGTCGAGAAATA